CATTTAAATTACAATTGAAATGTATTTTTCGTTAAACTAAATTTAATCTCATACGTTGCACGATTTTTTATTTAATAAAAATGACTGGAATAATAGAGACAATAACAGTTAAAAAGTTAATTTATTTACATTGAGTTGGCTCAATATTGATAAAATATCCTATCAATAAAATATTTTCTACATAAGACCATATATTTACATTGCAATCAATTAGAAAATATCCTCACAAAATGGATTCAGTAATCATGATCATAATTATGTTGCAATCAAATGAAATTTTTGTACTATTAATAAAATATCCTGATTGGCCGATTGCAATCAATTAGAAAATATCCTCTCATGCACTGTTGATAAAATATTTCCGACATAAGATCATATATTTACATTGCAATCAATTAGAAAATATCCTTACAACATGGATTCAGTAATCATGATCATAATTATGTTGCAATCAAATGGATCCATGAATTTAATATGCCCACAAATTTATCCCATTATTATAATTTCCATAAATTAGAGCTGATTATCAAATGAGGAAATTAGTTCATAATCATAATTATTATTGAGAAAATATTCAGCATGTGCACATGTGTCCACATAGGAGAAAAAGGAGTAGCTAATGTGGCTTCATAATATGCTGAGAAGTGTGCTTGGGACTCTTGATTTTATGTATATGTATATATTGACTAATATTTTTTAGAAGATAATAATTATATTATAGGAATAAAATTAGAATAGCATAAATGGATTGATTATCATTTTTTAAAAAAATTATATTAAATAAGTTAATATGATCTTTTATATAAATATGCTCTTTATATCGTATGTAAATAATTAAAATATTTTGTATCTAATAAATTTTTGAGTCCAAATATTTTTTTTTTAGTTTAGAGGATGTACAATATCAAAAGTAGAGAGTGTATAATTACAAAATTTACTTCTCATACTTGTAATGTTTTTCAAGAGAAGGGATGCATTTGCCCTCTCATAATCATATAGCTCTGTCAATGCCTACACTGAACAGCATGATGAATGAGTATTTATTATTTTTTTTCACCAAAAAAAAAATTAGTCACATTCTCATTCTTCCCTTTCTCCTTGAGGCTTTGGCTCAGGAAATTATGGGGGTTTACTGTCCACTTTTAAAGTTTGCAATTTTTTTTACATAAAAAATAAAATTTACCAACTACCGTTAATTAAATTGAGTTTGCTCAAATGATAATAGCAGTCATAATCCAAATTTTATGCATACTTTAGCCATTTTTTTATTTTACTCTCTCTCATTTTGTTTACAACCTGTTTGTGATATTTTTCATATATTTTAAAAAATTGTTATGTCACTTTATTGTTAAAACGCATCCCAACTTTCCAATTATATCTGTATTAATTAAAAGATGAGTCACTTTGTTGTTGCACAGATGCTTTTTCAAGTTAAAGGATAAAACTAAAATATTATTTCATCTTTTTTGTTTTTATTTGATTCACACCTTATTGTTAAATTCGTTTTTGCTTTTACAAAGCATCTTATAAACAAGATTGGAATTCCTATGAGCAATTTACTTGGAAAATCGGTTAGAAGACCATGAGGTAAAGATAATTAAGAAAGAACAGCAAGGTTCTCCAAATAAATTAATTATATATTTGGATTTCTATCAAATTCTTCATTGGGATCCAAATTCAAACCAATGTCTAAATATATAATCTCTCCATTAAAAAATATAAAACATTTTTTAAAAAATTAGATGTTAAAAAATGTAAGGTATTTTTAATTTTTTGAGGTATAATTATTGCTTTTTTTTTTTCAAAAGTGCCGTTATTGATAATGACTTTATATTTATTGTAGGATGTTTAATAGGAGTAAATATGAAAAGATGGGTTAGTTAAAAAATAGATAGTTACTTTATGGGAGGGTGAGATCCGATTAAAAATGCCTTATATTTTTAAACGAAGGGAGTATTTGTTTTGGTAATTTTAAATTCCCTTTATACCTTAATTATTTTAAATATTTGTCAGTTTAAACCTCATGCTCTGTTCATGTTTTTATTATTAATATCTTTATGATTCTTATATCTTTTCTTATTTCTTACTTTTTGGTTTTTGTTGATTGAAAAATAAGGGGGAACTCATCACTTTAACTTTGGTGTTTTCATTTAACCTCAACTCTTTTTTAAAATTTTTTAAACTATCAAAATAAATGATTTTAAATACATGAATATTAAATGTGATATTTGAAAATCAAGATTTTAAATCTAACATTTAAATCTAAATCCAACAATCCAAGCGCTATATAAAGTTAAGTGAATAAAGATTATTTATTTAACTTCTCAAAAGCATATCTCCAAAGTAGAGAAAAGTGGATTTGGTAGATGTAAAATATTAGAGCTTTTGGAAAGTGCATTTGAGTGTTAGGAATTTATTTGACCATGCTATCTTATATTTAATTTATTATTTTTATTTAAAAGAGTTAATGAATATCTTAAACTTTAAACTATTGCATGAATAACATATTAAACTTTGAACTCTTGAAATGTACAAAAACCCTCATCAATTTTCTAAATTCAATTGTTTGAAACTCTACTATTAAGTTGAGAAAAATGGTCATTATTTTTAAGGATAAGATGAGTACCACATCAGTGTGCGACTGACCTCACAGTTACAAAAATAATAACTATTTTCTTTAATTTAATGAAAAGGTTTCAAGCATTTCAAATTTAGAAGTTGAGGAAAATTTTTATACATTTTAGGAATTTAGAATTTAGGATACTATTTGCATAATAGTTTAGGGTTTATGATGCTTATTAATCATATTTAAAATATTATTAATTCATTAAAAATATAATGTTTATTAAAATAATAATAATTAGAGATTAAATTTTTTGCATTATAGATTAAACAATTAATCATGTTAATTTTTAACATTAATGTATGTTTATATAATTTTTGTCCAATATATCAAATTTTATATTTTTATTTAACAAATCAAATTTTATGTTATTTTAAGTTTTTATCATACATATTTTGAAGATGAAAATATGATTAACCATAATGATGATAATATTGACCAATACTGATAGAGAGATTAATATAATTCCTGATTCAATTAAAGACCACATTATACATTATATACATTATAGATAGAATAATTTTCAATATTAATGTATGAGAAAGTATTTATTATATAATTTTTTTGATATATTAAATTTTATATTTTTATTCTTATTATTTAACATATCAAATGTTATGTTATTTGAAATTTTTGTCATATTCTTTATACATGTCTAATTCAAATATATTATATTTGTATAACAAATTTTTTTTATAACTGTACATTTAAAAACATATTTAATTATAAATAACATAACTTTTAGTTTATAAAAACTGATATTTAAAAAATACATTCAAATATAAATTTTATTATGATAATTAATTTTTACTAGGCTAATTTTTATCAAATGAATTTCAGTTTGGATGGAAAGAAAACATGGGAGAAAAAAATATGAGAAGAAAATGTGAGAGAAAATAAATTTTATCCTATTTGGATAAAAAAAAGTAGAAAGAAAAAAAAAGATACGAGGCCCATTACGTTTTCTCCCCAAATTTTCTTTCAACAAATTGAGAGATTTTGGGAATAAATTTATTATTCCTTGCTTGCTCTTTTCTCCTCTACCTTTTTTTGTTCGTTTTTCATTTATTCCTTTTCACACTGCTTGTTCTTCTTTTCATAGTACACCATCTCTATTCACCTGCTCCTTCTCTGATTCAGGTTAGTTGTCTCCCTGTGTAACTGGCAAGTTTGCATAAATGTACTTTTTATTTTTATTTTTTGATAATTCAAGAAAGGAAACAAAATCTAGACAACAAACGAAGCACAATAATCTTGGGAAAAAAAAAAAAAATCTAATTAACTAATCCTAGTGACATTTAACATGGCTATGGCTTCTATAGCAGTGAAGACATGTAAATCATTAAATCCATACTTTGATCAATCAGTAAATTACTCATCTCACAGAATGAATAGCTGTGACGTTTACATAGAAATGTTTTTTTTTTTTTTTTGATAATACCATTGTGGATTAGTGGTGGGTAAAGGTAAAGTTTATATTTTTTTTTAATTTTATGTTGTTATATTTAATTTTTAATAACTTATCCACTTTTAATTTTTAAATAAAAATAACATATTTTTATTAAATTATTTTATTTGATTTTAAAATATAATAAAATGAAAAAAATATTTTTAATAAATAATTTTATTTTAAATTTTTTAATGAAATTAATTTTAATATAATTTTTTCCTTCTATTTACTTCTATAAATATAATTACATAAAACTTACTTCATTCGTTTAAAAATGTAAGACATTTTTTTAGGATTTGACAGTTAAAAAATGTAAGGCATTTTTAGTCTTTTAAGGTGTAATCATTATCCTTTTTTTAAAGTGCCCCTATTAATAATGACTTTATATTTATTGTAGATTATTTAATAAGAATAAATATAAAAAAATAAGGTTAGTTAAAAAGTAGATAACTATTTTATTGGGGGATGAAATTCGGTTGAAAATATCTTATATTTTTAAATAAAAAAAGTAATATATTTTAGTATAAAAGTATTAGAGTTATTGTAATATTTGCTCTTTTTCTTTTTTCTTTGTTTTCTTCTGTTTATCCAAACATGAGAATAGATAATTTTTTTTTTAAAAACTTTATTTCCTCTCACTTTCTTTTCTCAAAACTTTTTCTCCCATCAAGCGGAGAGAAACTGTTAACCAACAGAAAACTAAAACGCACTCCAAATCCTTCTTTGCAATTTCCCCCAATTTATTTATCTTCCGTTTATAATTCTCTCAGGCCCAAACTCAAAATTAAATTAATTAAATAACTTTCTCTCTAATGCAAGGCAAGCCCACGTCTATACCGAATACTAATACTAATAATTTATTTATTTAATGTACCTTGCTAAAAAAAAAATTGATTATTTAATGTATAATCCTTTTCTCCGCAATCCACTGATCCGAGAAGCCGAGGAATTCAGACTCGTTCGTGTGAATTGATTGCTGAGCTCGAACCCAATTCATGTCAGCCCTTAAATTCACAGCAACAGCTTCATCTGTGTACGCGCGCACGGCCATACCCTCCTCCACTGGACCCAAAACCACCAACACCTCGTTGGCCCTTTTATGGAGCCACAGGAGAAATATTCCATTCCATCATCATCACCTACGTGGGTGGAGGATAACACAGTGCGCTCATTCACTTTCTCTGGCGCACGATAAGGCTCCCTCCTCCATAACGCCAGGGCTAGGGCTTGCGTTTTGGGTCCCCCACCATAAATCCCTGTCTTTTGCCCCTTTGCGTGCTTCGAGTTCGTCTTCTTTTGAGAAATCGGGGGTTTCTGGAGGTGGGTCTGGCTCTGCATCGAGGTCCGGCCTTGTGGTAGATATGGGATCGGATGTGAAGGATTGTGATGGCTCGAATAATGAGACACTTTTGCAGAAAGATCGGCCTCCTCGGTCTTTGCAGGATCCGGAACAGCAATCCAAAGTGCTTACATTGCCCACTATATTGACTCTAGGCCGTGTCGCCGCCGTGCCGCTTCTTATTGCAAGTATGTGTGTATTTGTAGATTTCATTTGAATTCTAATTCCTTGATTTTCTGGGATTTTACGTTGAAATTGCATCGCCATTGGTTTTTCTGTGATTTTTTTTTATGTGTTGGCTATTTCACTAAATGATGGCATTGGAGATTGTAATTTGAAATTTTTACTCTCGATATTCGTGCTTGTGCACAATTTATGTTAGTTTTCTTGCAAAAATCTGCTTCTGCTGTTGCACCACTGTCTAGAATGGCATCTTGAGACTGACATGATTTATGTGCTAAATGCTAACTGTTCTGATATTCTGTTTAGCCTTCTATATGGATGGTTGGCGGGGAACAGCTGCTACCACTGGTATTTTCATCATTGCAGCAGTTACTGATTGGCTTGACGGATATATTGCTCGGAAGGTACGAATTAGATTTCTTAAAAATGCCAGAGCCAACGTTTTCAAATGATTACAAATGTTATGATTATGGTCCTTTTTATATTCATTTTGATTGCAATGCAGATGAAATTAAAATCAACTTTCGGTGCATTTTTAGATCCGGTGGCAGACAAGGTAGTTCTCTTTGTAGTGTTTTTCTTTGAATATAGCTAATGCATTGATTCTTTTAATAATGTGAGAGCTGTTTTAGATTTTTGGTGAATGTAATTGTTTCTGAATGCAGCTCATGGTTGCTACTACATTGGTCTTATTATGTACCAGACCATTGGAAGTTGCCATTTTTGGACAAGCCCCATGGCTACTGACTATACCTTCAATTGTCATAATTGGTAGGGAGGTAATGCCTTCTTTTTCCGTGAATCTAACATTGTTTAATTCATGTGTCACGTGAGAGTTTTTGTCACTGAGAACATAGCTAGGGTCTTACATCTTATCATCAAACGTATGCATTTTGATAGATATGTACTACGATATCTTTTATTATCTATGCCTTTGATATTTATTTCAAAATTTTCTCCAGTGTTATATTTCATTCTCATAATAATAAGATGAAGCTAAACTTTCTAGTAAATGTCATGAAATCACAACAATTGATAATCTTATTATGCATTGACCAATGAAGAGCAGCCCCGAGGGCAAGTTAGGTAACTTTTCCTACAAGTCTCTTCTTTGACATGCTTAGAGGGTGGTTCTTCTCCTTTTTGGTGTATTGTGTTAATCTGGGGCAGATTTGAGTTTCTCAAATGTTGACTTATACTAGTACTGGTTAAGCTCAACATATTTTCCAGAAAGCCGTAGAAATTCAATGGTTTATATACAAGAATTAGGTTATCCTGATTCTGCATTGCGTAGAAAGGAAATTTGTCTTCAGGATCACCTATGGTTGTTGTTTCTATCTTACACCTAAGGATGTTTAGCTTGGGTAGATGGGAATGAATGGTGTTCTCATTATTGTCCATTAGTTTTGTTTCTGTGGTGTTTCAAAATTCTGCAAATAAGCTCCTATCACATTCAAGTGGAGGCTTTGGATTTGATTTTTAATTTGGCCTTTTTATTAGAGTTTGTATTGCGTTTCTCGCCTAGGTATTTGGGTTTGATGCTTCTTTGGGCTGTATCCTTGACAATGATGTCATTTTTATGTTCTCATGCTGTATGATGTATTCAATTGGTTGCATGCCGATCAGATTGACATTGCCTAATTTACCCTTCCTTGCAAATCCCATTTCCGTGTCTGCACCAAAATGGAGTGCATTCACAAACTGAAACGACTCAATGGACGAACCAGAACTGAATAGAGGAAGGTGAAGTGCGATTGCCTGTAGAATAAGATGAAGAGGGAGAGAGTTGAAGAGAATCACATGGTGGATACTGGTTTATATATTTGAAAGAATGAAGAGGTGTAGAAGCAGATGAAATTAAAGAAGAGGTTGGCAAGTTGAGAGTAGGGGAACAGTAGAGTGAATATAGAGAGAGATATATTTAAGTTTGACTTCTTAATTTGATGAGAGCTAAAAGAAAAGGCAGGGGACTGGAAAATTTGTAACCATAATTATAAAGTGGGAATTTTGTTAGGATAATCATTTTAAAATGTATGCTATTTTAAAATCTACAATGTTATTTTAATCATAATAATTATATTACTACAGTATTAAATAAAAAAGTTTTCTTCATATTGTATTATATAATATATATTTTCCTTTTCTAATATTAGTGTTAATTTGTTCAACATGTTCTTTTAATTATAATTATAAATTATAATTATTATGTTGTCTCTTCCTCAATTTGTAGCAAAACATATACTAAAGTAATGTAGCTAACCGTGAAGAATTAGTTAACACTAGATTGGACAATTATTGGGAGGGAATTATGTCAATCGCTGTCATGTATTATGTGCTTTTTTTATTTTTGATTAGTAACAAGTATTCTACTGTTAGAGGCAATCTTGTTTGAAGTATGGTTGGATGCTAAATGTAGGTATCTTTCCTAGTAGGGATTGGAATCTTGATTCATCATGTTGTGAGAAACTAGTTCCTTCTACTAGACCCAACTCCTGTTAGTTATTATGTTCTTTTTTATATTTATTCATTTATTATTTATTTATTTTTTATGATACTGATGCTTGGGGGGTGTTTCCAGATCTAGTATGTTTGTGTATATTAGCATGCATGTTGGCAAGCATATTTGTTGGACTGAGATTAATATAGCAATAACGTCTATTCCCTTTGGAGGTATCTTGTCTAATTTTCGAAAGCGGTTGTCTGACAGTTTCTTCTTGTAACTTGGTTGTAGATAACCATGTCTGCGGTCAGGGAATGGGCTGCATCCCAGGACAGTAAGCTTTTAGAGGTTTGTTATACCTCCTGTACATTTGAATGAAATGTCTGGTCCATATATGTGAAAAGGCTCAAGAATATACTAGAAACTTTTTATAACAGGCTGTTGCTGTAAATAACCTGGGAAAGTGGAAAACAGCCACACAAATGACGGCATTAACAATCCTCCTTGCAACCCGAGACTGCAGGTATTGGTCTTCCTTTCCTCATCCAGGATGCATTATTTTTTTTTTTTTTTTTGGGCCTTTGCTCCGATATCTCAGGTCTTTGATCTAGATTAATCCAGTTGTTAACTTGTGGACACTTCTTTCTTTGGGAAGGATATACCTCCCACTGAGAATTTTAATCACTGCGGTATATCTAGGGCTCAAACTCGAGGCCTTTGGTTAAGCAGGATCAACTCCTTAGCAGTTGATCCAAGCACCTGCTGGTTGCATTATTGTATAGTTTATATTTCATGAAGAGAGAGGAAGTGGGTCTCACACGCACCTCCAATTTTCTGTCGCTCAAATATTTGGTGCGGGTGACCACAATGCATGTGTATCTCTACTGGACATTCCTGATAGTGCTATTCTTTTTTTTCTTTTTCAGCCATGGCGGGCCTGCCATTTTAGCAGGATCTGGAGTTGTTTCGCTTTATATCTCAGCATGGCTTGCTTTGTGGTCTTTGATAGTATATATAAGGAAAATAGGCAAGGTATTGCTGAAGTAGTAGCTGCTTCATTCCCATACATTCACCCTCTCTCTGGCTTCGTGAAAGAGCCATGCCATCTTACTCAAACTCCTTAATTAATATCGACGTGGATGGGGCGCATTCTTTTAATTTGCGACAGAGGAATATGTATATTTCTATCTGCAAAGAATTTTCCTTTTGTCTGAAATTTTTCTCAACTTTTGGTCCTTAGTCATCTATTGAGAAAAAGCCTTAGCAAAAGGATAATTCTTTGGTGAATCCCACTTCTCATGATGTTGGATGTTTTGGCCTTTTAAGATTCTCATTTTATTAATACAAAAATTCAAGTGGGAATTACAAATTTTAAATTAATTTTAATGGTTTAAAACTTCAACTTCCTAGGAGGCTGACCTATCCATAGAATTTCTTCAAGAGAATGGCCAAAAAAAAGAAAAAAAGATGCCACATTATATTATTGTAGAATGTCGGGTCAGGCTAGGCTAATAGCTCTATTGTTAAAGGCTGTGGACGTTGAAGTCCAAGATTGTATGATCCCTCACAGCAGGAATATGGGTGAATGTAATTTTTAGACTTTTAAAATTAAAATTACTCTTGTGCTGCTATGTGGTGCAATGTGGATGTTCCATCTAAGTTGTCTAATTGAAATTTGGATGGTATGAAATTTCTTACTTTTTATGTTTTTCAAGTTAAACTATTATTCATTTTACAAGTTGATGGTCATAAGCATCATATTAATTTATTATTTAAGATTAAAAAAAAGATACCTTCGCTTGTGACGGGTTCAATCTTGCCAACACTTGTGACGAAAATAAAAAAGAAATGGTTTGTACAGTCAAAATCGTTCCAGATGAGAAGTGCGGCTAAAGCATCTGCAGTTTTATTTTTGGACCATCTCATTTGTGTCTCATAAACGATGATGTCCACCGGATCAGATAGGTGGCTTTCAAAATATTGTCATGAGACAATAGCAGGGACACGCTCGCATAGGACCATTCGTCCTCAGATTCCCACGTCCACATTTTGGGTTCATCTTGGCATTTGCTGTTAAGTTCATGACTCGAAGAAGCAAATAACATTAGCATTTGCTGTTAAGTTCATGGCCTTAAGATGTATGCCTGAAAAAACCTAGTGCCTTATGATCTTGAGTTTGATTTGGATGGAGGAAAATGTGAGAAAAAATAGAGAAGAGAAAATTACAAAAAATTTCTAAAAATAGTATTTTTATTACTATATTTAAGAGTTCTCCCCCCCCCCCCCCAATTTTTTTCTTCATCCAAACGAAAGGTTAAGGTGTAGCACATTGATTCCCTAATCGAACTTCATGCTCCACTGTCGCATACCAGGATCTCAAACTCTGACGCCAAAAGATGAATTCATAAACGTGCCTATAGCGAAAAAGAAATAGATTAAAAATATATGAAAGCAGTGGCCTGGTGAACTCGAATTAAAAGTGTAGTATAAACTTAGCACATTGGTTGTACCAAGAAGCGTTTCTTGTAGCGTTCAACAAGCTCCTTCGGGTCATGACAGGTTTGTTTATAGGCATCAATTTTGTTCATCTCCTGCAGCATCAGCACAATCATACTAGAACTCAATAGCTTAGAAAGTCAGAGTCCAAAAAACTCCCAAGCGCTTAGTGTAAAAGTATCAGATGGTATGAAAACATTATCATAAACAAATATGTATGCCTGAAAACTATCTGGAATTCTGGATCAATATCTCGCAATCCGACAACAAACTAAAATTGACTCTGAACTCTCCAAATTGTTGTGAACATCACAGCTACCATGCTAGAAACATCATTATATGAAGGAAATGAATATCAAGGACATTGATGATAGCCATTGGCAGCATGTATTCAATGGAAATTTTCACTTGGTGCTTAAAAATAGTAAAAGATGAATGATACAGCATGTTCTTTTAAACAGTTACCAAATAATCATTTGATTTGTGAAAACCGAACGCAGATATGAAGATTTTCAATCTGGCCTTCCACAGATTATTTATTCCAATATGGTCCTCTAATCTTTAAAATGCTTGCAATGTTGTATTTCAATCTCATTTTCATTAAGATATTCAAAACCGAACAAAACCAACTACAAATAAGGTTCCCTTTAGCTTTTGATCTGCTTCAATTTGGTTTGATTCGAATGCAACAAAATCGGTTTAACTTAGTCTCTACATATCCAATACCTAACATACAACAATTTATTATAAGGACCACGGCTGATTCATTAGCTTTTCACACGGTTCCTTCAATATTATTTAATTAACATGGGATCAATAGCGTATAAGTTTAAATTATCTTTTACAATTAAAATCACATAAATTGAGACTTCATCTAATTCTATTGACAAACTTCAATCAATACTTTTTTTCTTCCATTTAAAAGAATCAGTACTTCTGAAATTTTTTGTTTAATTAATTTGAGTCTATATTTGTGTATTCATGAATATAAACTTTTATTTAAAAAAGTGAGTCTACCTGTAATCTAATTTGTTAACTTTTACATGTTTTACCAGGAGAAAAATCATTTTAGCATGATTCAAATTAATCCAAACCAAATCAAACGAACTTCACCTGGAACCGAATGGGTCAAGAGCTTTGCCAAACCAATTGATTTGACTCAGTTTGATTTTTGCTATAAACCAATTCTAACCAAACCTTTGAATGGCCTTAATGTCTAGCCAAAATTAACATCAACCTTAACAATCAAGACTACTCCCTCCAATTCTATTTACAAGGTACTTGGGAGGAGACGTTTTGAGATAAGCCATCACATTGATTATTTATTACAATTTTTCCCTCTTACCCCTCATAAACTCATAATTTTCATTCATGAGAAACAATTAATGCAGCCTTATTTTGATTAAATATAATAGTCCAATTTTTTGTTATTTCCAGACAATTATTATAGTTAATTGATTTTTTTTTTAAATTGTGTGATACAATTATTTTTTCTTATATATAAAAATGGAGGGAGTATTATTTAGTTTGCCTAAAAGATCTTTCCCTTTGGTCCTTATTATAAAATGTTTCAGACATTTTCACGAAGATTAAGAAAAGTTGTTACATGATTCTCTTTGTCCAAAAAAAATTCAAGTATTCCAATTATGCCCCCATTCATTTATGTTCCTTGCGGAAGAGATAAAACCTTGGCTCAAGTCACGAGACCAATATTAAATTCTAGGGGTAAAAGAAATCATTTGATATTTTGACACATCATGTAAATTGGACCGATTTTATCTTTTAAGACACTTTAGATATAGGATAGGAGGGAATATGCCGGAGTCCTTCCACAATGCCTATGACCAACGGCCAGCAGTGATCAGGAATTATGTCCTTGCTACTTATTATCAAAATGACATACAAATAAAGTCCTTAGGAAAGGGCCGACCCCTACCACTACTCTGTGTAATCATTTTCAGAACAAGAAGAGCATTTACCCTACAGACCAATTTGCTTCCAATTTAATGTTTGAGTTGATGTAACCAAAGCAACAAAGAGGTGAATTCAATTTCTGCAATAAATTCAAGTGCTTGGGAGTGCAATACAGCAATATTTGGCTTTATAAAGTGAGATACTTATATCAAGAGAGTTGATATTTTAGAAAAAGCAATTTGGAAGTGTTAGAGTAGTAAAATACTACTCTACGTGATGTACATAGTGTTAAATAGTGTCCAAATTCATTGCACTATTTTTTGTACTTCCTTGAACTATCATTTGTACCTTTGTACTACTTATAAATAAGAAATCTGTGTTTGGGAAACATAACCTAACACATTCACTCAATTCTTTCTTTCTCTAAAAGGCTTCAACGAAACAAAGTAATAACTCTAGCACTTAGCAGTTCAGCCAAACAGGCTCTAAAATTTGTCATGCATGCCTTAAGATCCACTTAAACTAATGGCCGACCCAGTGGTAGCCAGGCAGCTGGATGATTAGAAAGATCCAGGGAGGAACAAGTGAAATGAGCCAAGATGCAAGGGAACTTCACAATGCACAAGCATGAGTCCAGAAATCATACTTATGCTTGAAAATGAATCTAGAATTCCAGAACACACTTTAGAATTATTGCTGCTAGTTACAGTGGTGTTGAACATATTTTCATATGCAAAGTATTATAAGTGACACATATGACTAAAATTAATTCAATTTCCTGAAGATATAAAGGGACAAAATTATGTTTGTTTTCCCTACCTCAAGCCATGCTGCTAGTTTAGGCCTGCCTTCTGTGATATCATGATTCTTCACATCCATCAGAAATGGTCGAAATCTTTCAACAAAGGGAGCATAAGCAATATCCACCTGATGTTTAACGAAAAGAATGCTTTGACAATCTATAACAGGATGAAAATGGAGAGAATATAATGTATATAACCATGAATTGGACAAGTATACTCACCAAACTGAATTGGCCAAGAAAGAAAGGACCATCAAATTTGGAGAGAGCAGATTCAATGTAATCAAATGCAGTGCCTGTAGCATTATGAGGTTTCGTAATTATCAACCAGAGGAACACCAGGAAGACAGAAATTGCCACATTACCTGCTTCTGTCACATTTACATCTTCTTTAAATGAAGAGACGACAGTCTTGTAAAAAGTGCCAGTGTAAGATAGCAAATCTTCAGCAAACTCCCTCTTTGTAGAATCCTGTTTACCATATAGAAACCTTTAATTTAAATTTGAATTTTGGATATGGAAATGTTATATTACTCTCCTAGGCTCTAAAGTTCCACAATTTTTAATTTGGTCCATAAAGTCTAAAACTTTACAAGTCAGTCCCAATAGTTTTTAAATCTTTAATTTGGCCCAGGTCACTAAAGTCTCATCAGGTTGCCATTAAATTCTTTCAACGTGACCAATCTAGTGCTATCTTGAAAGTTTGAATATGCAAAATTAAAGTCAACAGAAGACATAAAAGTAGATGATGGACTGAAATTCATTAGTGTATGTGGTATGTCAATCCAACAAGGTTAAACCGTTCAGGTGAATTAGCATCAATCATGTATATTCAAAATGCTGATATGGAAAATAATTGGCTGTATCAAAAATACATAACAGCATATTCGTGAAGATCAATTGATAGAGGTCAGAGACAAATTCAAACTAGAACTTTTAAACTTTAGGGACCAAATTAAAAATTCATTGAAATTCAAGAGACCGACAAAGTTATTTAGCCTCCTAAAAATATATACCATGAGAAATTTTGTGTCTTACATCAGGGAGAAGTGAGGGCCCTTCAAAGTCATTGTCAATGTATTTCATCAAATCAAGACTCTCTCCTCGGACTTCGTTATTGTGTTCCAAAGCAGGAACCTAAATTTAGAAAGATATAAATAATTGTTATAAGAATGTGTTATGCATTAAATCAACTATTTCTGAAAATTTCGTGGAAACCCTTAACTTTTTTTTTTTTGGAATTTTAACCTTTGGTTTGAGTATAAAATAGAGATAAGTTATTGACGGTTTGCTTTTGAAACAAAGAATAATTATCATGTGCACCTTGTTTGGTGGGTATACTTTCTCCTTATACCAGGCAGGCCTATCATCTAGATCAATAGGAACCAGTTGTATTTTGTCCTGCAATCCCTGCTTCTCACCAATATGAAGGTAGAGAAGGTGTGATAAACTTTAGAACCACATTATGCAAAGCTCAGTAATGTAATAATTCATTTCGTCAGAACTTATATAGGAACTTTTGTTTCCCCGGAATTATATGGAAACTAAATGAAGGAGATCGAACAGAGATGAAGGGAATGAAATCCATTAAGCAGGAAAAAAAAAAAAATCTTCTCTCATGATCAGATTCCAAATAAATAAAGGGAAGGCATATGAAGACAAAATTTCAAGATTAAATATTTATTTGTAAGTACTTGTTTCAAAGATGGTAATCAAAGAACAATCATCAGCAGCAACTTCAATGGTCCTTTTAGAATTTTCAATTTATGCTTATTTGAGAGTCGTTCAGATGCTTGATCTTATTGTTGCCTTATGTTTTGTGTAAAAGTTAACAGTACTCAAAGCCCAAATTAACCTTGTATGGTTTTTGGGTTTTTATGTATTTCATTTTATTTTAATGAATTGACTCTTATTTCCAAAAAAAAAAAAAAAAACAAAGAACAATCATCCAACCCAAAACACATTAGCATCACTGCTGTTTATTTATTTTCTTTCACTTCCATTAATGGCTTTGGAAGCAGGAATCAATATTCTCTTCATTTTTCCAGCAAGCCAATACGATTATCATTCTTCCTAAAATGATCCCCAATTTTCACTCCTACGAATTTTTTTTTAAAAAAAGAAATGCAAGTAACAAAATTAGACAAGAGTCCTTTAAAACCTTGCAATTACGGGTGATCCAGACGCGCTGTGCATAGGGGCAAGTGTAAGAGATATACAACCTTCATCCACCCGCCAAAGAAACAAAGAAAAGGAGATTTCCAGTGATCAGATATAGGAAAATAAATATCACCACGAAATTTGAAGTTTTTGTTCAGAAATTAAGAAACTAGCGAACCTTGTAGTGCCATCAAATAAATTAGGAGGGGCAGAAGTCGAAGCAAGGGCTGGTGGAAGAGCCTCTTGCACACTTGAACAGCAGAGAAATTCAATTAAAACAAGTTAAGAAGACAGAAATCCACTTTCACAATAATTCAAGAGGAAATCCTATTTTGGTACCTAATTTACCGATAAACTCTCAATTTGGTCCTTCAACAGTCATATCTTTCAATTTAGTCTCTCAAAAGTATTTGTAACATTGCTATTATATCTCATATTCGCCCAAAATTTAACACAAGTTTAACAAAATACTGATTTGCCACCCACCTCCCAAGCCACATTTGATAATTGCTTGCCAATAACTTCCTATTGGTTTGGGGTTAAACTTCGAATCAAACTGTAATGAAAGGCCGACATTGCCGAGGGACTAAATCGCATCCAAATTGGAAGTTAACCTACTGTGATTTACGAAATTATGGTTTTTCTCATTCAAGTCAAGCAATGTAATGTTGCTGGGAGTGAGAATTACGTGGAATCAAAATTTTCCTTGTATTTTGAAGCTCATCTTTCTCGGCAACCAAACAGAAGATCCACCACACATACCTAGCTGCCATTGCCCTGGGCCTCGTAGGAGACAAACCAGACGAATTGCTGATGACGTTGGATGGCCGGAGCTGAGGCTGAGGCTGAAGCTTGAGAGAGGAAGCGCGGGAGAATTTGATGGCTAAGGCTTTAGAAGAAGAGGGACAACTTGGAGGAGAAACCGATGGTTCTCGCATCGCAGTGAATACAGAGGAAATACGAAGCGGCATAGCCATAACTAGGGGAGCTCCCTCGTGAAGGGACGTGGACGCGTGTAGTTGACGCGTGCGTCTTCTCTTTCTTCTTTACGTGCAGTGTGTATATATATACCCAACAAGCGGGGCTATGAGAGTCATCCATTTCTCCACAAGGGTCTCGATCTCTAAAATATTATTTCACAATTCGATTTCTGCGAGCGCGCATGGAACGCTCGAATTCTAACCGAAGGGATAACTAGTTTTGTTGAATGCCAAAATTCTCATAACTAATATGTACTTAAATTTTATAAAAGTTTTATCACTCATTAAATGTAACTCCTTTAATAGTCACCCTCTTCAATAATTATTAAAAATATTAAAAATTTTATTATGAAAAATTGAGAGATTACTTTATTGGATAGGGAAGCATAGCGAAAGATTAAAATTTTAAAGTCCTTATCCTGATATGGACCGAACGAACTCGTTTAAATTAAGGTGGATAGAAGAGTTACCTTTTAATTTTTTGAAGTTAGCGCATGTTTGAATTTCAAGAGCTGACAACGTAAATCTACTCCCTCTACCAATATTCACACGAACAGCTCTCTAACTCGAACAGCGTGCTAGCGCTCTCAACATCCGTTCTTTTTTGAATGTTAATTTTTATTTCTATAGAATGTTTCGTGACTCTCAGAGTGTTTTTGCCGTCAGAACTTTTCTAACTCTCTCTCCCTTCATAAGGACATCCCTATCTATATATAATATATAAATAAGGGTTTTTATCTTCCATTTAAAAGCTCATGAAAATTTAATTAAATTTATCTCATAAATTTAATCCATAATATCATATCTAATTCAAATTTATTTTATAAATTTAAATTATAAAATTGACATGATATTCTCTCTTATCATGTAATTATTAAATTTAATCTATCATATAAAATTAAATTTAAAATTAACATAACATAACATAACATAATATAATATAATATACATCACATATACATATTATATTATATATATACGAATATATATGTATACATATAAATTTTGAAAATGTGTGTATATATATATATTATATTATCTATATTTAATTTTATATATCATATACATATATCATATATATATATACACATATATATATATATAATTATATTTTAAATTTTATATTTCATATATATATATATATATAAATATATAATTCATTCACCTTATATTACATTCATTAAATCTAGACATATTTCAGATTCAACGAACTTGAACATTATAGCTCGAGTTGGGCCGTTCTTGTGTGCGACCCTGTAGGCCCATATAAATTTGGCAGTAGGCTAATTACACTGTTAGCCCACAAGTTACAAGTGGCCTCTAGCAAGACATTATAATTACCCAATTCACATAGGGATCGATAATCTAATGTAACCTATCAAGCAACCATATCACATCCCTTTTGTCACGCAATATTTTGGTCAAGTATGAGATATGAAATTATCATTCTCCTTCACTTGACCGTTACTTTCTCGATTTTTGAGTAGACTGACGGTAACAATGGAAAAATCCTTCTTGTTGTAGTATAGCCATACATTTTCTCAGTCTTACTCATTGAGGGGTCCAGTAATATTTTTCACTTAATGTGAGGGACAAATTCCATCTTGATCACTCATATTCCTCTGCATGAATATCATTAAATTCAATCATAACCTTTATGATTACCCGATCAAAGGTAACTTTTGATTAGGTCAAAGTTCAGTGATTATCATATAGGAATCTATGATGATCTCAAGTCAAAGGGTTTAGTGATATAGTTATATATGAGATAAGCTTATGACTTGTACTATGCAGTTTTCTCATAACAGTTCAGTCCAGCACCTCATACTCTTTCAAGTATTTATAACTTTAATTTGTATCTTTATAATTAATCAAAGTCATACTAGTCTTGTTTTATCTATGATCCCTCAAAGATAACTGACCAGGGATATTTATGACAATCACTATAGTTTGTCCAGTAATATATATTGAACATGCAATTGTTATGATAATAAAAGAGAAATTCATTAAATAACAATATGTATAGTATAATGATTGGCCTATGACACAATTTTTAACACACTTTTAAACATGTTCACAAAAAAATAAATAGATATGTTGACTTTCTAACTTATGAAACTTTGAAAGAGAATTTTGATATTAAATTATTCAATAATCTGCCTATTGATTATAAAAACTTTATGACTTTGGATATGATATGATTTTAGTTTCTTTGCATGCTTTTCACTATGGCCTTCTATAAAAAAAAAACAAGATTTAACTATTACCAAAATAAAAAAAAGAAAAAAATTATTTTGTGAGAAAGATTCGTCCAAACAAGAGAAAAATTATTGTCCCCTCTAACTTCTTCCCTGATTTTCTTTCATCGCATGTTTTATCTCTCAATCCAAAATGGAGTATAAAAGTTGCTGAAATTTCCCTCATGCTTGTCAATGAATGGATCTCAATTGTCAAGAGTAAAGAGAACTTTTGGCAATTATCCATGTGTCTTCACTATTCTTGTATCACACCACCATCATGTATATGGTTTAAAGAGTTGGTATTTTGGTTTTACGTTGAAAAAAAATAAATCATGGTTGGGGGGGGGTGGAAATAACTATTTATTTATAATCATGATTTTAATTGTTTCCCATGGAAACCAAACATACTAAAAGTGACCTCTTTAAAAAGTAGCAAGTGAAATCTTCCCTAAAAGAAAGACGTTTTCGATATTGTAGGTGAATGAAGATTTGAAAACTAGTAGAAGTTCACATCATCCATGAAATGCCTGATCATGAAAATCTCAAACATGTCCTTATCATTATCTTGTGATAAGGATCGGTTAAAGAATGGATAACATTAGAACATAATCATGATTACATCAGAAGTAGTTGAACATCATAATAGCTTACTAATCTCCATCATTATATGTGCTAAAATTAAATTTGTGCTTCCTCATGAAGGCATTAGTCAAATCGAGATTAAGTTTCATGAACCAACAACACAATGTGTTATCATTCAAGTTCTAATGGAAGAAATTGATCAAACTTTTCATAGTTAGACCAAATGAATATCACAAATACAAAACAATCACCAAAACTTTGGATTAATGTTGTCATGGTACATAAAAAAAGTTTTCACGATTTAGGTATAGAAAAACGACAAACTTTACAAAAAATAAAAATAATAACAACAATGTGGGCAAAGAAAATTTGCCAAATCGTCATTTTCCTATGTCTAAATTGTGATTGTTCTATGTCCAAATTATCATTTTCTTATGTCCAGGTTCTCATTTTCATATTTCCCCTCTTTTATTTTTTACTACCATCACTTGATGCACTACACAACGAACCATGTACTATTTGTAGAAGAAAGAGCCTTGGGTTCCAAGTACAAATTTATGGCTAATAATCATTCTTAAACAATACCCAATGATTTTGACTTGGAGGCTACTCCAAGTAATTTCTATTATTTTTTTATTCATTTATTAAATTTGGGCCTAAAATTATTGATGATTTTAACATTCCCCTCTGTTATCTTTTCTCCCATGTTTTAACATTCCTGGAATAAGTTGATTAAACTTTTCACATTTAGACCAATTAAACATCACAATACAAAAAAGTCACCAACACTTAGGATTAATGTTGCCATCGTACTTACTAAACTTGAAAGAACTCTGGATTTCTTCAGAATGGACATTTCCAGAGGCAAACACAACTTCTCTAGTTTAAGCGAACCCCATGTGATAGTGCTTAACAAGGCTCCCAGTTGATCCTTTAACGTGACAATTAAAGACGGTCAAAGAAAGAATTTACGCCATGTTTGGTTTACAAGAATATTTGAAAATATAAAGGGAAGCTAAGAATTCTCCTATAATCACCCACTATCTGAAACTATCAAAAGGATGAGAGACTTTGCTATGAAAAATTAGATCATTACTTATTGGCCATATATATAGAGAAACTAATAATTGTGTGATTTGCTTACTCACCAAGCTTTTGGGATGTAGAAATTTTTCGTACTCTCACATCACTTGATTGGATATCACTTTGCATGGTCTTGTATTAAAAAATAAAAGGAAATGACGTATGATCAACTTGATTATTTACTCACATACAAATTGTCAAAAGCAAAACCATGATGTATCATACCTGTCCTAAGAATTATCACTAAAGCGAAGTTGAATGCAACAAATCTAACTCTATATTCGGGGGAAAAGAAAACATTTTATCTTGCAGTTGAATTTATAATACATATACATCATGAAGCATGCACCAATGGCTTGCAGATGCAAGTCTTTATTACAGCAAGACAGTCATTCTATGACCCTATCAACAAATACTGATTCCGATTATACATTGGTTCACATTATCCTTCAACATAATCTAAAATGCAAGTCCCATCAAATATCAATTAACTCTCCAAGGGAGGAAAAAAAGAATTCTTTTGTATCACTTTACCACTCAAATGTTTAACTTTATTTCAATTTCATCCATTTTGAAGTTGAGCAAAAATTTTACAGAATTGAAAAATTCGGTAAAACCAGATTTTTGCTCTATTTCAATTCTGTTGTCAGAAAAAGACACAGCTGTTGCACAAAGAAATTTGCATACTCTTTTACCCATGGAAACTTCAGATAGCCCAGAGAAATGCAAGAGGACATGCCCTCAAGCTATAAAGATGAAGCTTTCGAGAAGTCCAATGGCTGCCTTTGCTGAAATTAGAATAAGATCCTGTGTCAGGAATTTAACACAACAGAAATCCAATTACGCATGCAGATGCAAATGCAGCCTTAATAGCACATGGATACAAAGAGGAGGCGGTATGGCGCAGGATACATGATATATAAGCAATTGGAACCAAAAATATAGAACTCCATTTTGGGCTGTATCAAAGATTTATTGTTTCACTTACTGCTCAAATAGTTGATTTTATTAAAAATAAAAATAAAATTTCTTCGAAATAGAACATTTTTGAGGGAGTTAGCTGATATTTGAGAATCATCTTAAGAGGGCCTGACTATGGACACCCATTGCATGAACCATCCTAGAATAGACAGTCCCTGAACCGTCCCAGTTGAGTTCGGGACTGGAAGTTTTTTTATTTCTACTTATAAAACTAATAATGCAAAAAATTTATGTATAAATTATACTCATCAAGCAATGGTTGTCAGCAGAGTTTTAAATTTCCAGGATTAGTAATCAACATGAAATGTAGGACCCTGCTAAACAATATAAATTCAAGGGCACATGATATACTACATTTTCTTTCAATACAAAGGAAGGCTAAGCCTAAACAAGATGTTACTACATGTTAGGAATGCATAATTTCCCTTGAATTACAATAGAAATTAACCCCACAAATGGAGAAAAACAGAGAAGGCAACAGGGAAAAGTTCTAAGCATTTTTAGGGGCTAGAACCTCCCAGATGAATTACCAAATTTTCTAGTTGCATTCTGCTCTGCTCTCACCCCCTCTTTATCTCCAATAGCCTTAACCAATAATCATCTAGAAGTTCACATTCAAGCCACCACGTCTCCAACTATAACACCCTTTATTTTATAGTTTAGGGATCTAGTGCTACAAGTTGACCACAGTTTAAGTGAAAGTCAGACCTGTGAGCAGGCCTAACAGAAAGTCATTTTTCATTTTAACGTTTGGAACCTTTCTTTGAACCGTGATACTAGACATCAAAATTCTGAAGCCAATTCTTTGTTTTTCCTAAAGCCCTTTTCAATTCATATTCATGCACCTCAAAGATTCTGGCCACATTCAAGAACGCAGTGACTTTTGCTTTTGGTGATTTTTGACAGCAAAATTCAGGGATTTATGGTTGATTTTTTTTTTAAATGATTTTTTATTGCCTATACAAAGAGCATCAGAGGAGAAACTTTGCCCAGTAGCGGTTGTCATAGCTTTAGAGAGCCTAAAATGAACTTTCTATTTTAATTAAATTGCAAGGAATATAAGTAGTTAGTTCATATTACTTTTTACTTTTTGTGTTATATATTATAAACTCTCTTTGGTCCTTATTGTAGGACACTTTCAACCGTTTTACATATTTTACGAAAAGTTAGCTTTTTTCTTGATATCATAAAAAAATGAGATATATTTTCACTTTTACCTTTAGTTTTAAATAATAATACAATAGTAATACAAGAAAGGTTAAAATTGAAAAAAGTTATTTAATTATTACAAGATGTCCTATATTTGCACCAAAAATTACTTTTAGAAAGTGTCTTACAAATAGGACTAGCGGGAGTATGTATATATATCTTTTAGATTGCAGTTATAATTAAAATTTGTTATCATATTTTAATTAGTAGTACCAACATAAAACACAATTAAGCAAGCAGATCTCAAATATTCTTCTCGTCTTATAGTGAAAATATACCATTCTAATTTAATTTCTATTATATATCCAAAAATTAAGGTCATGAATGATATGACTGCTTCGAAATTGTTCAGCCCGCAAATAAAATTTTCATCTAAAGTACAAGGCATATTATTGTCATATAAATGCTTCTTACAGACTATTAAATATATTACTTAACACCATATTGATCAATTCTGCATCTAAAAGGGAATTTTACATTTTAGAAGATTTTTAACCAGACATTATTAGTAGCTACCAAAAAGCTAATAAATTCCCAAATGGATCCTTTAAGTAATCCATAACCGTATTGGGGTTGGGTCTCCCACCATTCAAGTAATTAGGTCATAAAGGCCAGCAGGTACTACAGTGGACAAATTACAAAATCATGGCATGAATATACCACGGATGGACCTCCAGGTCACTATTCTTACGCATTTTAATACAAGTCCCCAATATAACAGAAATTACCTTAGCAATTGGCATCTTTTCCCGGACAGAATCTACTAATGATAAATCAATATCAGCTATAGCAATCCCTGTAGACAAGCGATCTGAAATAGAAGAGCTAGAATGAGACAGAAAAACTTCAGATTTAAACTGCTGGCAGTTCTAGCCAGAAAAATAATAAAAATAAAATGAAAAAATTACTAGTATAATATGATCCTATTCCAACAAGTGCACTTGTTGAAACTTATAGGAAAAGCATGCATCCAACAAATTAAAAATGCAAAGTTAGTGCAGGAAAGCAATGCACTCAAAACCATCAAGCAAGCCAAAGAAAGGCCCGCTGCAAAATTCTCTAAGAAAGAAGAAACTTGACCCTAAATCACATCTCTTGTCTCCTATAAATATCTCATTCCCTCTTTATTTAATCTTTGTATGAAATGTTGAGGCATGATATCAAGAGTATACTGAACTGACTATCATGTGGTAAACTCCATAAATCTAACATAAAAGTTTGGCAACAACAGAAGTTGAATTCGTGTAAGAGAATGAACAATGGTCACAAAACTAGCACCGAAAATCTGATAATACGATAAGCAGTGAGGGAGGAAAATGAATTCAGAACAGTGACTTTTCCAACCCACAATTGTAGCTTTTGTGAGAGTATCAGTTAGAATAGAAGTCTGATAGGTATTATATATTACATGATATACTACAAAAACCCCTAATGCCATATTTTACTTTCAATGAAGAATCAATCAAGTTGGAATTATATGCATGCAACAGGAAGGAGATTTTTACCAGGTAATTGACCAATAATGGTTCCCCATGGGTCAATAATTAATGTATCACCATAACTTTCTCTTTTATCATTATGTTTGCCAGCTTGTGCAGCAGCTATGACCTGATAATTCAAACAAATAGCCACTCCCAAATGTGAGCAGAAAATAAGAACAAGTTCCATCTAAGAACCTGGATGAATCTATAATGAGTTTCCACTTCAATTATATAAAATTAAATGCTTTATTCTTCACTGCCACATAAAGGTTTTCAACTCATACTTACCCATCACTTAGATCTGCAGTCTAACTGGCACAGTATCAGACATTACAACAACAACAACAACAACAAGCCTTTATCCCACTAGGTGGGGTCGGCTACATGGATTGCAAGACGCCATTGTGCTCTATTATTTATCAAACTTTTAGGAATATTATTAATTAACAGATCGTGTTCAATAACTTCCAAAAGTGTTCTCTTAGGCCTTCCTCTACCTCTCTTAATCGGACTCAAAGTTATATGTTCTACTCTTCTCACTGGTGCCTCCCTTGGTCTTCTTTGTACATGCCCAAACCATCTCAATCGATTTTCTACCATTTTTTCCTCAATAGGTGCCACCCTCACTTTTTCGCATACGTGCTCATTTCGAATTTTATCTTTACGTGTATGTCCGCACATCCATCGTAACATTCTCATCTCTGCTACTCCAACTTTATGCTCTTGCTGTCCCGTTAGAGCCCAGCATTCACTACCATATAACATTGCCAGTCTGATAGCAGTGCGATAAAACTTTCCTTTAAGTTTATTAGGCACCTTACGGTCGCAAATAATTCCTTTAGCTTTTCTCCAATTAAACCACCTAGCTTGAATTCTATGTGAAATATCTCCACTGATTTCGCCATCATTTTGAATAATGGCTCCTAAATATCTAAACTTTTCCACTTGAGGTATAATTTGATCTCCCAATTTCACTTCCAAATTATTGTCGAATAGTCCTTTACCAAATTTACAATATAAATATTCTGTCTTACTTCTACTCAGACGAAAACCTTTCGACTCCAATGTCCTCCTCCATAACTCAAGTTTGCAATTAACCTCTTCTCTTGTATCTGCTATAAGAACTATATCATCCGCGAAGAGCATACATTTCAGAATTTCCCCTTGAATATGTTCCGTCAAAACATTTAAGATCAAGTTGAACAAATAAGGACTTAGAGATGATCCCTGATGTAGTCCAATCTTTATAAGAAAATCCTTTGTTTGACCACTAGGCGTTCTTATACTAGTCTTTACCCCCTCATACATATCTTGTATGGCTTTAATATAAGCAATCCGTACTCCCTTTTTTTCTAATGCTTTCCAAAGCACTTCTCTTGGTATCAGACATTATTGAAATTAATAACAAAGCCATTGAAATCTTCAAATTCCATAATCACTTAATATATATTACCAATTACTATATTGTTTTACAGGAAATCAATTTATATAGGTAAATGAGAAGGAAGGCCTCTAAAAGAACTTAACGTCTCTAAGCATTGGGATCTGAATCACATAGCAGTTTGGGATCAGGAAACCAAGGTAAGAAAGAGAGAATGCAATGCTTTCAGGTGTAAAATTAATTTCTCACATAGCATTGAGTTTCAATTGCACGAGCACGAAGAAGAATCTCCCAATGTGCTTGACCAGTCACTTTAGTGAAAGCTGCAGGCACCAAGAGCACCTAGAAATTTAAAACGTAATCAAATTTCAGAAGTTAAACAACCCATTTTAATTATAAAGGAAGCAATTTTTTCTTTTTTGGGTACAGGAAGCAATAATATTTGAATACCTGCGCTTCATGCTGAAATCGCAATAACTGGTAAAGCTCTGGGAATCTCAAATCATAGCAAACAGTGAGACCCAAACGACCAATAGGACTGTCTACTGCAACAACATCCTTTCCTGAAGGCAACAAGATACAAGATTATCACATGGAAAAATTTAGAATATTATAATGCTTATTTTCTCTGTCAAGGTAACCATCACCCAAACCTGCAAAACACATGGAAGTGATCGTTGTTTAAGTTCTTGATTTGTGGTTGCACAAACATGTGAATGGCCATACTTTATCTGTGTGCTTAGGTTAGTATGTCTGAATATGCTTTCCTTCATTTTAATAAGGTTTTGTTTGCAACATATTGGAGTTTGAATAATGTTCACCTTGAATATAAGCGTTAGAATAGTCTAAGAATGTGGTGACAATATTAAAATACATGCATTGATTACGTAGTAGATTTATTACTCTTCCACTTGACCACATTTATGATGATAACTACAAAGACCTGGCCTAGCAAGTAAAGATCCCATTCAAATTAGTCCTTATTTTTTTCCCTCTCTGTTAAAAGTGCCCATAATAATAAACGATCATTTTGTCTATTTATTTATTTTGCTTCAATAACCATCGTAAAACAGAGAAGGTCCAGCAAAGATCAAAGCAAGAAAATGACTCATTAGTTTGGCACCTTGTAAAGAGGTGATATCCTACCTGCTTCTGTAAAACTACTTTCTTTATATACCCTTCCACCAGGAACATCAACATCAAACCTAAAAAATATAGCAAAGTGAAATAACGATGTTAATATACATCTAGCAACATCTAATATTTCAGTTGAATAAGTTCTTATTACATTGAGGGAAGAACTCATTAATAATTCAATAGGCTCACAATGGACTGTGCCAATTTTTAAATGCCATGCCATTATATTTTTGGTATATATTGTCTCTGCATTTTTTAAAAAAGAGTGAGGCTAATGGTTTGGTGGGCCATAAGGAATGCAGTTGACCAGTATTATTTTTATATGGTGATAAGAAAAAATTATTGACAGTTGCATCATTTTTACTCTCAATGTTTAGAGGATCCTACACCTTTCAAAAGAGAGAATTACATATCACATAAATCATTCATCTTTAGATATGGCACTACAAACTCCGCTACTCTAAACTATACATGTACAGAGGCCCCACATTGTGAGCTTTATGTCAAATTTTGTTTATCTATTACTTGTAATTCACTTTCTAGTCTTTTCCCATGCAGCACTATCCCTCCATATCATCTTTCACCATCTTAATTTTCTTTCAGTAATTTTACAGAGAGCTTGACCTCTCAAATGGCAAACGTTTTGACTATCAGATCTGCTTTGAGTGGTAGATGTAATGGTTAAAACATTCAACCTCTTGATACATTGAGCTCCCCATTGGATGCATGACCCTTTCCTTTTCAAATACAAGACTGACTCTCACACACATCATCACTTTCATTTCAGCATTCATTGAAACACCATAGGACTCTCTCTTTTCTTCCTCACAATTTCCCTCCAGATGTCACCTCCTTACTCCCTCAAGGAACAACCTGGCTCACCAAAAAAACCCTATTTCCCAAAACACTTGATTGATTAAATCAAAGTTTAGGGTTTGACTCAAACTGGCAATCCAACCAGTTAGGTTGGCCTATTTTGAGGATTATTTTATACTTAAGCTCTTAGATTTGATCATTTAGTGATATTATGGTACAATATCCTCACTGCCAAGTCAAACTCATGACTTGATAGGTGAAAGCAAAGTGCTCACACCAGCCAGCCAAGAGCTGAATTGGCATTTAATGATATTGCAATTATCATTTCCTTTATCCACTTGTCCTTCTATCTCTTTTTTCTTTTCTCATATAGTAGAATTTCACACATTCTCCCTGTTCTCTCTTCTCAAACCAATTTTCTGTCCTTTTATTTCTGCCAATGTGCATGTGATGAAACAATATAATCAACCTAAACTAAAAGCAGCATCACCTTGAAAAGATAAAAAGACCAATATAACAGTTCAAACGAATTCTGAAAGAAAATATCATAAGCATTTTGTCTTACAGGTGTATCTTTCTATAAGAGCTTCTAATTTTCCCAGTGTCATCTACTACAACATGGGTGTTACACAAGTGATCATCATCAGATCCTCTTTCTTGGAAGCCTCCAAGTGATAACCAGATGCTGGACTCTCTGCATTATCAAAATATGTAATTCAGTTACATGATTAAAGAAACCATCATCAGCTATTTGCTCAAAATGAAAAATCAACGTGAGCATATGCATGCATTTTAAAAGAGCCATATTGGCAACATTTGGATCATCTTCAGAAAAACAGATAAAATGAATATGAACAATCTGTCACACAGCAAACAAAAATTAAAGAACATCATAAACCATTGACCATGCAGGAAAGAATCAATAATAGCATGCATGGTCTTAGAAAGAAATCCAGTTGCATGATTTGAGGTAGGCAAGAATAAATGACTAGCAATCATACTATAGAGCATGCTTATATAGATTCATTAAAAAATCAAGGAACACCTTACTTTATTACCTTGCCAAAGAGCAGTATTTTTGCATAATTGGTCCATCCAAGGGTTCTGCAATCTTAACACTGTCCCCATCCTTAGAACCCACAAAAGAAAATGCCTCGGGAAAGCAAAGTAACTTTGCTCCAGCTGATGCTGCTTCCTTTGCAGAACATTACCCAACAAAAGAAATATCCCTTGATCAATATATTACAAATAACCAAACTAGAGAAAACGAAGTTATGGTTGTTCATCAGGAAGTTACAGTCTCATTTTGCAATATTTCCAATAAATTAGCTAATTAGTTGACAAAATCTGGCCCTGCCACAGAAAACAGTTTAAAATAAAACTCTGCCATCAATCTACCCCATGAGAATTTATTGACATCACTTTGATCCATAAAACTTTTTTACCATGAATTTCGTTATCAATGTTTTTTTTTTTTTAAAAAAAAACTCTTGGTCCTGAGACTCACTCATGAAGATTGAATCTAATATTAACGTTATCCCGCGGCAAATGTTCACATCATTACTCCATCTCATCAATTCTGTTCTCCAAACAACGTTATGGTAAGACTAGAATGATATGAGCTGGCCAGAAAAAAAGAAAAAGAATAGAATGATATATTTTCCGAACTATGACAATTTCTTTTCAAAATGACACCATAAATTACTGACTCATCAGAAAAGAGAGAAAATAAAACCAGCAACAAATTACAAATTCCGAGACATAAAGCGAACCAAGTTAAGAAAGGAAAAGAAGTGAAACTAATGAAAAACATTTGATACTTTAACGAGTCGAGAGCAGGTGGCGAAATTGGCTGCAAGATCGTTAATGGAAGTCATCTGAGCGGCAGCAACTCGGACTGAGTTAGTGGCCATAGTTGATGACTCGCCAGCGAAGGCAGCATGCGCGGTCAAAGAGCATACGAGTTGGCGCTTATGGCCCAACGGTAATTGAAGAATCTGAGGCTCGATGACTCTACCAAACGAATGCACTGATGCACTGAACATGACACCCCTTTACCCGGATTTTCAGACAAAATTCATTTTATTCAGTCGACATACGGTGCGTTTAGGCTGTAACAATATATTGTTACATTATTACTTTTTTTTTTAAAAAAAAATAGCAATATTAATGAAGACAATCAACAAAAGAATGAGGAGGGTACATCTCGAGGTTGAGAAAAAGTTTGCATGTTTGCATATAAGCTTAGGCTTGTAGTCCCTATACTGGCTTGGCCAAAGCTTAAGCTAACTTGATAGGTGAGAAAAGTGCATAATGATAAAATTGATAATTTGAGCCAAATTTAATACACCAACCTAAATAAACTTTAAAAAATAAAAAAAAACATATAAGGTAAAGCTTTGGAAAACTATTTTTTATATATATAACCAGGCATTTTGTGCTGGTTCAAATACACTTAAAAAATTTGAATCAAGTTCATTTAAATTTGAGCTAGTTTAATACTCCAATAAGAATTTAATTTATTTTTTATTTTTTACATTATTAACTAATTAGTAATTATTCATGTTATTTTCTCATTATTTGTATTTTAATTGAACTAACTATAAATGATGGTTTTTTTTTTTTTTGGTGTGTGTTGTTGTCATACCCATATCCACATTTTTGATAAAGAGTAAACTTGAAAGTTTGACTTGTAGTTTTTTTTCTCCTTAAAAAAAATAATCATAACATTTCTAGTTTTTGAGCTAGCCTAAATAAACTTATGGTACCTAAATTATTTATTAGTTCAATCAATATTTTAAAGTTTCATACAGACATCATTATCTCATCGTTCCAAGAAAAAAATGCAGACAACATTGCAAATTCATTAATAAGCACCAAGAGGATTGGGAAAAAAAAAAAAATGTTTGCTCCAAGTAGAGGGTGAAAAGAAAAAATTCTTTTTTTCCAAGAAGATAAACCTCTTAATATTTTAAGTTATACTTAAGAAAAAATATAACAGTTAACTCCTACATTTTGGTTGTGTTTTATTTTTAATTCTCACAGTTTTATTTCATTGTTCTTAGTCAATATTAATTCCTATAGATTTAAAAATCTATATAACAACTATGAACTATCATCAACAAAATTAATTTCGCTATAACTTTGTTAAACTCTTCGCTAACAATATATGGTAAAACCTAAAAATATACTTGACATGAAAATAAGACATATTAAACCTTCAACGTAGACGTATTAAACTAGATGTAATTAAAAATAGGATTAAATGATAATTTAAACATTAAATTATAGACTTAGAAACAATTTAAACCTAAACACGTATTTAGTGCATTTTACGGCCTTTACAATTACATTGATGGCATTCTTGGCCCATGGTTAAGGTAAAATTACGTTGAAGGCCACGCAAACAAATTAATTATTACAAATATCATTAATAGCAGAAGTAAAACTATTTATACCAGTATATAATTCTCTTAATTTGAACTAAATTTCTCTCCATTGGATTGGTAGAGCATCTGACACTTCCTCCCTCCCCCGCCCCCCCCCCTCTCTCTCAACGCCTCTCTCCTCCCACTCCTCCGACATGCCCCGCCCCCATGAAGGTGAATCCAAGCCGCGACATCGTTGGCGGTGGCGGCAGCTATGGCTATGGGTCTGACGTCGGTGGTGAGGAGTTTGAGCTCGGACTTGATAATAGTGAGGCTGCAGAATCAAGGGGTAAACTTGGAGGAGTGGGAGGAGAGACGCTGCAATCCTTAATACGAATGGCTTCATTATTTGGGTTCTCACCAAGTGCAACCAGTTTCACTAATCTTAATGTGAGGTTTGAAGATTTCATCACGTACAGCTCCAATCCCATGGCTTCATTATTTGGTCTTGGAAGATCAACCAATCAGCATTGACATAGCAAGTGTCAGATGCATAATAGGCCCCCCCAAAAAAAAAAAAAAAACACAGAGAGAGAGAGAGAGAGAGAGAGAGAGAGAGAGAGAGAGAGAGAGAGCTACCTCATATGTGGATTAAGTAGAACATGGCAGACGAAAGCAAGATCAAATGCATGTCAAGTCGTTAGCAATATGCATCAGCAAAATTAACGTTATCAATGCCAGCTAATGGTTCTTATTTGTACTTTTAAAATTGTAGGGACTAACATCATAGATGAATTAAACTAAAAGAATAGGAACCAAAAATAAAATGCAATCAAACCATATGGACCAAATATTATTTTTTTCCCATGCTTAAAATATTAAAAGGGAAAAGTAAGCAGATGTCTCATGTTTGGCATGGAATTTAAAGTGAGCCACAATGCCATACTATTTATAATTTATAAATGATTCAAAGTTACATATCATAGAATGATATGTTAATTGATGATAACAAGAGTCAAAATCAAATACGAGAGAGCAGAAGATATAATAATATGGCCTAAAAAGGAAACAAAGGTTTTACAAAATAAAGCAAGCAAAAATTCATGCATAGAATCAAGAAAAGAACCTTCAAAACCTCATTCACAGATATATAGAACTATGGACAATGTAGAGAGTGTTGACTTGGCCTATAAAAAAGAAATATGCTTTTATAGTAGCTAGTTAAGCAAAAATTCATGCATAGAATCAGGACTCCCAAGGAGATCAAAGGGCTTTTTACCAAGGGAGTCTTTTAATATTGTTATTTGACCTTCCTTTACAAGTATATCTTCATCAAGGACCTCTATCTTCTTCTTCAATTCAGTGATCTCCGAGTCCAATAGCATATTCTGCTCATTATATTGCTTCACTTTTTCCCACATGCGATCTCTCTCCTCAGTTACTTGGGGCAATATTCCCTTAACGATTGCCAATTCTTTCATAGATTCTTTCAGATCACTTTGGAGGCGGTTTGTGCTCTCATCTTTCTTAAACATCTGTTACACAGGAACATGAAATTAATTTTGAAACTTTTCCAAGAGGCAGTGGGAACAGGTGCAAGCAACAGCAACTTCAAAAAGTACTGCCAGGAACCCTCTAAGGCCCGATATTTCTATTCAAAAATAAATGAATGAATGAATAAAATATTACTATAACTGGGGGCAGAAATGGGCTACGTAACAAGGCTTTGGTCAAGTAGGCCTGAACATGTGTTGTAGATCAGAAGCCTGAGCTCGACCTGAAATCTGTATAAGACTTTTTTTATGGCTCAAACCTGAGCCTATTTAAAACCTAGCTCAGATTGGAAGCCTATTCAAAAGCCTACTTAAAAGCAAGCCTTTTAAAAAGACTTACATATTAATTTTAAACATATCAAATATGCTTTAGACTAGTAAAGTCTATATATATAACTTGATTTATCAATTACAATATATAATAATTAAGAGGATTTACCAACTACAATACAATACAACAATGAAATAACAAGATTAAAATTACTATATAAGTCCAATTTGATTGAAAACATAACTAAAAATAAAAAGAATGCATTGATTAAAATCAAATGATGAAATTGATGTATATGTAATATATTACATAATAATATATATGTAAATAAACTGATCTATTGGACTCGTAGGTTAGGCTCCATAAAAATAGACTTGGCCTATTTAACTAAATAAGTCTAATTAAAGGCCCAAACTTGATTTAAGCCAATTTAGTAAATAAGTTAGATTGGGCCTAAAGTAGGCTAGGCTATCCTGGTTTACTTCAACCCTTAATGTCTGTCACAAAACTCTATATTGTTTCATTGAAGACATTTTCCGTGGAAAACGGCCTGCTTAACCATACTAAAATTGATGAAAGTTGATAGTGGGGACTGACCTGAAGCTCAAGTTCCTTCAACTTATGGTTGACACATGAATGGTTGGCTAGTGCATTTTGCACCTCAGCTTTAAGTATGTCATTTCCTCTTACAGCAGTGGCAAGTTCAGCTTGCAGCTGCTCAATTTGGAGCTCTTTTGAGTACAGCTTCTCTCTTAAGAGACTCGTTAACAAGCATTCGGCTTTAAGTTCAGTTCTTATTATATCCTGCATAAAATTTAAAAAAGATAAATGTATGCCTTTAATAAAAAGAATGCACAAAGAATAGAACATCTTATAATGCTATTAATCAAAGGTTAAAAAATAAAGAAAAGACAATTTACAATCTGCATTTTTTCTAAATATAATAATTTACAAAGGTCCAGAAGCAACTTACCTCAGATGATTGATCATTCAGTTTAGCTAGATTGTCGGGATCAATAAACTGCGACTGAAATTTAGTTGTTAATAAACTTGACTTTTCAGCGAGCAAAGCTGACATCATCTGCAAACTCCTAGTCAAGCCCTCAATTCCACTTTTAAGACTCTGAATTTTACATTCAGATTCAACAATAAAATGCCCATCCAGACCACTTTTTATGACCTCCATTTCCTGTTGTGAATCTTGAAGAAGCTGATCTCTGATGAATTCAATCAACTTTGAGCATAAGTTGGAGCTTTCATTTAGCATCGTTAGACCTTGATTTTGCAGACAACAGACACGGGCCAACATTTCTTTATCTAGCTTATAAGTAGCAGCAACGATTTCTTTCCCATCTCCTTTTAAGCGGTTTAGTAGAGTTATATTTTCTTGGCGAAGAGAATCTGCTTCAACCCTATAAGATTCTAACTCCCTTCTCAAGGCCAATTCTGCCCCTGATAACCTCATTTGCTCCATTTGCATTTTTGCAACATGCGTCTCCACCCTCTCCATAGATTGATCCTTTTTGAAGTCCTCACTAAATGCATCTCGTAACCCTGTGATTGTCTTCTCTTGATCACTGCATGTTCTTAGCAATCTTGTGATGGACTTGTGTAACTCTTTACATTCCTTCTTCTTCTCTTCATAATTTCTTCGGTAAATGTCCCTGTTTTCTTCAACCATCTTACACTTCTCTTGTAATTCCAAGGCATTTTGTTGAAAATACAAGTTCTGCTCTTTCATTTCTTCCATCTTTTCGGTCATTTCCTTCAGCTGATGGTCAGAACGAGTCATTAGATTTTTGGTTTCTGTTTCCCTGTCACCAAAAGATGAGACTTCCCTTTGAAGTGATACATTGTGCTCAGCAAGCTCTCTAACACGTTCACGAAGCCTTTGCTCTTCTAACTGATACTTCTCAAGCTTAAGTGACCAGTCTCTTGACCTTCTGTCTAATTCTTTCTCCAGTCCTGACTGTGTCTCATTCTTTTCCTTTTCTAGCCGTCGAGCCTGTAACCCCGATTCTTCCTTTAAGCATCTAAGCTCTTCCCTAGCAGATGTTCTTTCAGCAATGCGAGACTGGAGAAGGCCTGAAACTTCCATTGCCAAACTTAACCTCTCCTCTTCTAGGTTTCTGATTGTCTGAACCAACACTGACAGATCAAAACCACCATCAAGAAGAAAGCTCTCTCTTTCAAATTCCTTGGAAAAAAGAGTAACTCTCTCTTTGACTTCTTTTAATCGTCTTTGTAGCTCTGCATCAATATCCTCTTCAAGGATAACACAGCTTAAGCCCTCATAGTTGGCTGCTGGGAAAACATCATGTTTCTGGAATCTTTGATCATCAGTGCAGTGATAACCATCTGCCATTCTGTGAGGTTTATCAAAAGAATAACCTTTTGGCAGAGCCTCTTCTGGATCTGACTCACAGCATTCATTTTCAGATCTAGCGAATATATCTTCAACTGTAATTGGATTATCAAGACCAACCTCTTTTGAACTGATTTTGGACAAAGAATGAAACTGAGAAAGTCTTTCAATGACATTTTTTGCCAGGCTCCGAGGAGATTCATGTCCAAACCCATTTTCTTTCCAGTCTTTGGATGAGAAGTGAATGTCAGCGCCTTTTGCTTCTCTACATGAATGAGCTCTTGGTTTATATCTAGCACCACCATCAGTTGGTGAATTAGGTGCTGTGTACTGATTTTTTGGAGGAAGCTTCATGCCATAATTTCCATTTTCACCACAACTTTTCTGTAAATTTTTCCTTGACCTACTTTTCTCTGGCTGCTGCTCTCCATCAATGTAACGGTCAACTATCTTACTATAAATGTTACTAGAAGAAGTGGAAGAGTTCCCAGATGAATCATGATAAGACCTTGAAGAGCTAGCTGAGCCAGGCCTCTCAGTTCCATGTGAAATTTTTATAGACGAATGCCTTTGCTTCTCAGGGCTAAGAGTCTGAAAACTAGAAGAAACTAGGAAATCTCTGCAAGAAAGGGGGAAAAAAGTAAATATAAACAATGAACTATAAGTTTCTATAGGATCTCTCTATGTGTGAGCGTGTGCATGCTTTAAAATCAAGTGATATAAATTCTTATTCTTACTGGGATGAATTCTCGTATTGATGATATTGATCACTTGATATGAAACTAGGAGACCTATTATGATCGTTGACCTGGTAGGCTGCTGTTGACAAAGACCTGCTCCTTCTAAGACTTGGTCCACTACTAGAACCCTGGCTATTTGATACGTGCCTTTGGGATTTGGAGAACAATCCCTTTGGACTCTGGAAGCTATCCTCGGCTCTGCCATGAGCCTGACCATATAATCCACTTTCTGATGAGTTCTCCCAACATATTTGCTTATTTGTGGATCTTGGGGGAATTGCATTATTGCTCCCACTGCTTGACGCAGAAGATTTAAAAAAGAATAGTTTCTTCATATGTTGATGATCCTTTGTAATTCCAACAAAATCTCATGAAGGTGATCAGCTTTCCTGAGATCTAAGGAACCAGCCTGCCAATAAGTCAGATCTCAATGAACCTAAAAATAAAAGGAAAAACATAAAAAGCCAATATCAGTGCAAAATTTATATATATATATATATCTTTCTTAAACAGAATAGTAGTAAGGAGGATTATTTGATTAGATGAAAAAGAACAAAACTGAAAGGAGAAAAAGGATGTCACAGGGAAGATATACTTTATAAATTATAACTAAAGAAAGATAAGCTCTATCTACTCTTTTAATCTTCACACAGATATCTTTAAAATGGGAAAAAGAAAAAGGAAACTTACCAACTCTTATGCAAGCTTATTTAACAAATGGTTTAACATAATTCAATTAAATAGGAAAATAACTATCCCAACCATGCAACGAAATAATAAGGAGCAACAGAAGCCAGCCACAATAATATTAATAATATTAAGCCTATAGCTATTCAAACAAGCTATCCCAACCCAGACATTATGGACTGAGGCGAGGTTTGCCTGATGGTTAAATCGGTCCAGAAATTCCTAGCCCAACTCACAAGTGGTGTTAAACAAGCAAGCTGGTTTAACTTAGAGGAAAAATGCCACTGTTTCAATTTGAATTAAGTTACAGGATAAGCATAGCTTTTATTGTTGAATTGTTTATTGAACTCATGTTTTGCCAATATTTTCTTTCAACAAACAGCTGCGTCTCCCGTAGACAGATTAGATAATTAGGAAACGAGATTACTAAAAGAAAGGGAATTTGGTTCGATGTAATCCATTCTGGTAGGTGAAAGTACATAAGATGAGCCCAACAATTCTGCAACTAATTAGCACAACAATCCAATCTTTTATTCAGCCAGGCTTCACAAGGAGCACAACGTTGCATGATAAATTTAATTAATATTAACAAACAGTTTCATCACATTTTCAATCAATGTCTCTAAGAATTTGCAAGTTTTGGGATACACTTCAAAGCTTCCTATTTTTGTAGAAATCCAAAGCCATTATGTAGAGATTGCATGTTTTGATGACATACTTCAAAACCAAGTAAAATCCAAACCCAACCCACTAATTTTATGGGTCCACTCAGGGGGATTGACAGATTTTGACAGCACTGTGCAAGTACAATAATCAATATTTAGGCCTTTATAACTTTTCTCAGCCATTTTTTACCATTTTGTTGGACCAAGAGGCAAAAACGATAAGATACTCAGATATGATAAATGACCATGTTCATCTGATGTAATTTAATTATAAATGTAGTCAGCAAAAAAGAGAAAACTATGGTACGAAAGAAAATAAGATCAAACACCAATTTTTTAATTGAAAGGCATAAAATACAGAGAACAAAATAGGGCATACAAATATATACAGAACAGAACAGTTTTGGCAAGCTTTTCATACCTTTACCTTGGCTCCCAAAGAATGGTCAAGCAAAAATGAACTGTCACAGCAGGGGGAGAAAGCAAATCAGATAATACAAAAAAGAGTTACAAATCCACATATGGGTAAAGCATGAAAGGTAAAATCTTCATATGTATGCATGTATAATATAAAATTAATAAGAAGTTAAGAGCCCTTTTCTTGTTCAAAATAAAGACGAATCTATCAAAAAGCCGAGAACATATAAGTCATCGTTTTATTTTAAAATTATTCAGAGAATCCTTCAGAACGATGAGGCCAAGCAGCTTCAGCGAATAAAAAGACAAACTTGTCCCCATCTTCATCCGCATCTAAACCCCGAAATCCTCCTTCTAAGATGACGAACATGCTGTGATTCATCCCAAATTCAAACACACATGCTTAGAAGAAAAAAGGCCAATTGTCAACAATACTCTAACAATTTTAACAATAAAAACCATTTCATGGCATTTACTATTACATAGATTGAAAATTGAACCAATTCCCTCCAAGCCATTTAACAGGAAAAACTAGGAAGAAACCCTGAGCTCGGTTTGATTAGTCTGGGAAAAACCAGAGAGTGAGAGTTGTAGCACTTACGATTCAAGGTTAAAAACAAAAAAAAAACAAGAAAACCGGCGATCAGTATAATTCCATTGCTCGATACAACTTCAAAATGAACAGAAAACTTTTCCACGTACGTTTGCTCCACTTTCCCAGTAAACAAACGGAAAATACTGAAACGAAAACAACCCGTTCAACTACTTTCTACCATGAGACGATGGAACACATACAGACACACAGCACGAAAAAACTAAAATCAAGCCCCAACAAAACAAAATTCAACGAGAGAACTTACCGTTGCTCAAATGAAATCAGAAAATTAAACCAAAATCAAGAAGTTAATGACATACCATTAAAGAGAGGTATCCCAGTTTGAGCAAGAAAATTCAAATTTCGAACAGAATTTAAACAGCAAGAAATTCGTAACGCTCCTTTGCTGGGTTGGAGGCCAACGTGGTAAAGCAAGGATTGAAAAGAGGCACGGTTCAGTTTTCATGAGCGTGTGAGCATATGCCAATGCCATCCATCATTGGGGGAATTTCTACAAAAGGAAAGGGTAGTTTGGTCAGAAAATGAAAATTTCAAAAGGTGCTCGCAGTATTGTGTCGCGCGGAAAAGGCGGTGAAGGAGCGGGGTTTTGGATCAGGCGCACTGGAACTTGAACAAGCTAATCATTGTCGAGTGGGCCCCAAACATGTATTATTAAATTTCATAATTCATAATAGCTGTGTAAAATAAAATGGGACTCGATAATGATACTCAATTTAATTTAGGAAAAATTAATCATTTATACCATATAATTTTAATTAAATTATAACTCAATTACTAAACTTTAATTTATTATAATTCACTTTTTATAATTTTAACTTAATTATAACTGAATCTTTAAACTTTTACTCTTGCAATTAATCCCTACAGTTTCAATCACTTAAATATTGATATTTATATTTAAAAAAATAAAATTATAAAAGTTAAAAACATTTTGAGTCTTTAATATTTATAATATTTATAAATATTAAAATGATTTAATAATTAAAAATATTAGTAATAAATTTTAACATAATTTTAATCTTTCTAATTTTATTACTAATATTATAAATATTAAAAGTTCAAAATATTATAATTTTAATCTTTTAATTTTTAAATATTATAAATATTGAAGGTTTAAAATATTTTTAATCTTTATAATTTAATTTTTTAAAATATAAAGATTAATTTTTAAGTGGTTAAAACTATAGAGATTAAATTTAAGCAAAATTTAAAAACTAAATTACAACTAAATTAAAATTATAAGGATTAAGTTTTAACGATTCAAAATTTAAAAATTGAATAACAATTGAGCAAAACTATAAAAATTAAATGATTAATTTTTTATTTAATTTAATCTTTATATTAAGGAAAATAATTATGGGAAAAATATTTAGGAATAAAAATGTAGGTAAATTGATTTTATAATATTAAAAAATTAAGTTGTAACCTTAACTAGTGAGAGTGGAAATACGAACAGAATTGTTTAATTATACTTTTTAAAATAGGTGTTAATTTTTACTCACTTGATTAAAAAATATAAAGTACTGTTTAGGTAAGATATTAAAAAAAAGTATTTTGAATATTTTAAGGTGAATTTTTTTTTTTTTCAAAAATATTCTTAATTAATGAATTTAATTAACATAATATGAAAATTTAAATCAACCCACTTGATTAAATTAGTAAACTATTAAACTAGTTTCTTAACTAATTTAATAACTAACATGTTTTGTTTATGATCAATTTGATCACAATTTAATCATGTTTTCTTATTAATAATTTTTAAATCAGTGCTTTGATCAATTTAATGACTAGTATAGTTTTTCAATACATTGATAATTAATTATGTTTTCTAAGCAAGGGTAATCATAGAAAAAGTATATAATCAACTAAAAATGTGTTATAACATTAAATGGATGAAGTATTACATTTATGAAGTCCTTATCATTTTTCCCTAATAAAACATAATTATCAATTCTTATAGTAAATTGAATTTATAATATTAAAAAATTAAGTTGTAACCTTCAATAGTGAGAGTGGAAATACGAACAAAATTGTTTAATTATACATTTTAAAATAGGTGATAATTTTTACTCACTTGATTAAAAAATATAAAGCATTGTTTAGGTAAGATATTAAAAAAAAGTATTTTGGATATTTTTAAGGTAAAATTAATAAGATTTTTTTCAAAAATATTCTTAATTAATGAATGTAATTAATATAATATGAAAATTCGAATCAACCCACCTGATTAAACTAGCTTCTTAACTGATTTAATAACTAACATGTTTTATTTATGATCAATTTAATCACGATTTGATTATGTTTTTTTATTAATAACTTTTGAATCAGTGCTTTGATGAATTTAATGAGTAGTATAGTTTTCAATACATTGATAATTAATAATGTTTTCTAAGCAAGGATAATTATAAAAAAAGTATATAATCAATTAAAAATGTCTTATAACATTAAATGGATGAAGTATTACAATTATGAAATCTTCATTATTTTTTCCTAATAAAACATAATTATCGATCCTTATGAGTTTATTGAATTTTACTTTTAGTCTCAATAGTTTTTTTTTAGTGTTTTTAATTTTTATAAAACTAAAAAAAAGAAACTATAAGGATTTAAAAAATAAATGTCATTCAAACTTTTTAAAATTATAGGATTAAAAATATTAAAAAAATTATAAAATTTAAAAGTAAAACTAATAAAACTATAAAAATTGATGATTAAATTTTTTTTCTAACTTCTTATTAGATCACACACACCCCGCTTGTATAATATCTTAATTTTTAATTACTTTTTGGAGTGGAGTGAAGCATTTTTGAAAACTATCAATGTGGACGCGCTCGTACGTATTTAAGATTTACTTTCCTAATTAATAAAATTTATAAGAGTTGACTATTTTTTTAATATAAACTTAGTTTAATTACTATATTCATTCAAAAAGACTTAAATTATATTACTTGTATGTCTATTTTAAAAAAAGTAAGATTTATATACTTAATATATTTATACCCAATCAAATCATAATAAGTGGATATTTATATATTTATAAAATTAATGAAAAAATTATTATAGAATAAATAATCTATACAAGATCCACATATCTTAATTTAATAGAAAATAAGTATATTAAATATATAAGGTTAAGTGTATAAGTTTGTCCCTTTTAAAAAATACACACATCAAAAGATAACCCTACTATTCTCAAAAACAATATTTTACTAAAAAATATTATTTAATTTTAATTCTTATTTATTTTACAAAACCATAAACTAAATTGATTTTATTTTTGGGTAAAAGAGTAAATTAGTTTTTAAATTATAAGTTCAAAAGTGTCTGAAACTAAAAACTCATTTTTAATATAATATTTCTCTCCAACTTTTGAAAATGGTACAATTTAAAACATGTCATTAACAAAAGTTAATTTTGATATTTAGTTAATCAGAAAATGATAGGAAAAAACTTTAAAAATTTTAAAAATAACAAAAAAAATAGTAAATGATCCAAAAATTATATATAATTAAATTTGGTAATTTATTGATTCTTTTTTTGGGGTAATTTTTAAGGTCTTTTTTTGGTCATTTTTTAATCAACTAATGATTAAAATTAACTTTGATTGATGCAGGGGTTAGATTGTATCATTTTTAAAAGTTAAAAGGTAATATTGCATAAAAAATAAGTTTAGGGTCTCAAATGTCCCTGGACCTATATTTTAGGAGGCCAATACTTGCTCTTTTGCACTTTGTTTTTTTTAAAAAAATTGTTTATGAAGAAATCCTTAAATAAACCTGGTTCATCATGTCATTTGTAGACTATTCAATAAAATTGTACTATTTCATTGAAGGCTAAAGTATACTTTTAATTATTTAATTTTATATAAAATTTTAATTTGATCGTTTAATTTTAAAAAGTATATTTTGAATTCTTCAACTATAACACCATGAGTTTTAAATGATTAATTTTTATTCCAATCATTGTTACTTTAAAAAAATTAAACTTACTCTATCAAAATTTTAGAATATTTTGTTAATATTTAAAATTTTAATGTATAAATTTGGTGTGATGAATTAAAAGATTAAAAAATATATTTTATAAAATTAAGAAACTAAAATAAAATTTTATATAAAACTAAAGAATTAAAAATATATTTTAGTCATCAAACAAAATTTCACATGTCATCATTTCTTGTGATTTTATTTTTGGAATAAGATATCTATTAATTTCCTATCTTTTTTATCTATATTACCATTGATGAAAGAATTAATTTATATTTATAGCGATATAACATGCTATATTTTTATTAGATAGTTTGCAAATGATGTGGTATAGAAAATTCTTAAGTAGATTAGGTATATTACGTCATTTATGATTCATCCAATAAAATTGCACCATTCAATCAAATAAAATTTTATTTTTCATTATTTTTAATGAATTTATTTTTATAATAAAGTACCTATTTGATTCTTTTTTTTTCTCTTTCCATTATCATTAAGTCATAATTAATTTATATTTAATATCATGTGAATATCATATTTTTATTGGATGGACTATAAATACTTAAAAATTTTTCCATCATACATTAGGGTCTATGTAAGAATTTCTCATTATTTATGTGTGATGTTAGTTAGGGATATATTTAATACTTGTTATAGTTATAAAAAAATGCAAATATTTTGGAAATATTATTATATGTAATTATAACTTACTCCCTCCGTTAAAAAATATAAGATATTTTTTGAGGGGTTGAATATTAAAAATGTAAGATATTTTTGGTTTTTCAAGGTGTAATTATTACCTTTTTTTAAAAAAGTACCCCTATTGATAATGACTTTATATTTATTGTAGGGTGTTTAATAGGGATAAATATAAAAATATAAGATTAGTTGAAAAGTAAGTAATTACTTTACTAAGGGTGAAATTCAATTAAAAATATCTTACATTTTTAAACGATGGGAGTACCTTTTTTTTTAACAGATTGGTCAATGCAATGCCTCTCTTTTTAAAATAATTTTGAAAAGAGATTTTATTTTTTTTAAAAAATAATATTTAATATAGAGAGTATAGCTTAACATTCCTCACAAGAGAAAATGGTAATTCATCATGAGACTTTCAGTGGTTTACAAATATTCTTGGGTAAGTTTTGTACAAAACACAATTATTGCCTTGGTAGGCTAATATCAACAAAATGATAGGTTCATGAACTCAAATCGCTAGGGGCCTATAATCTATAATCCCGCGTTTACGTTAAATAATGAGGGGAAAATTTTATTAAAGCACGTCTCATCTCAAAATAACCTTGGCAATTATAATTTCTCAATATTGAATCAATCTTACCACACATTCATTCATTTTGAAATTTGAAATTCAATAAATGCTCAATATTAAAGAATATGTTTGGTTTAATGGGAGGAAGGGAGGAATTTTTAATAATTTATTGTAGTGTTTCAAGTCCCGAACTAATATAAATTATTGGTTTGACTCATTATTTCATTTTAAAAATTGAACGGTTTA